ACGAAGAAGGACCTGCAAGGGCAGTTGAAGAAATTTTGACGCAGGGCTCCCGGAACCGAGCCTAGCAGTCGGGACTGAATTTTGACATGAAGCCGAGGACTGGGGCGAAGCAGATGGATCATGGAGAGAGACGATGAGGAGTCCAAGGGAGAGCTGATAACCTCACGCAAGGAGTCCCCGCCGCTGAGGACAGCTGAGAATAGCTGAGCTGGAGCTCGACCGAAGCTGACTCTACCTACCTGAACGCAACAGGGTAGACGGACGGACAGAAGGACAGGGCAGCAGGGCTGCGTGCCGTGCCAGGGCAGGGCAGGGCGTTGCGTGCTGGAGACCCAAGACTGGCCAGAGAGGAAGAAGGGCGCGGCGTGGCGTGGGATGATGCAGCGGTTTCCATTGGACTGGGACTGATGTTGCTTGGTTGGTAGCCAAGGCCCCCTTCCATTGGACGAGACGACGCCCGTAACCGGCATCGGAAATTTCCCTCTTCGCTGTAATGGATGAAGCGGTAGTCATTGACCAATTGGACATCCTTTTGCTGCTCCATTTGGAACTGCGTCGTCGCCCACGGGGGGTGGTAAGTAACCAGAACAGAGAGGGAGGCGTCTGTCCGTCCCCAAGCCCCCTCAAGCCCGAGACGGTCGACGTCACCAAGTTTCCCGTAACTGACTCTGCCCCCAAACATCTTAGGTAAGACAACAACTCTCCGTAGTGTCTTCGCAGAGAGGTGTTCTTGGCCAGGGAGTGTATCTGTAGTTTCGGACTGCACTCCGTAATGTGGTGTATGTACTTGAGGCTGGAAGCTCTCTAGAGCTCGCGCCGTTCCTCATGCGACAAGTGAACTCTGCCGAACACCCGCCGGCGTCAGCTATCATAATTCGGTTCTGGCCGAGTCCCCGTCGAGTGAAATTCGCAAAAGGAGAGATGGAATTTCCGCGACTCTTTCACGTATCGAAATGTCGGGAGGCGCATTTGCGTCGCCGAATGTCTCGACCATGGTTCAGAGTCCACAACGGTACCCTCCAAACATCGCATAGATCAATTTCGCTGAGGCCGACGATGCTGATATGCAGCGACTGCCGGATCCGCACTCAGCAGGAAATCTTTTTCGGCTCCCGAATGTACCGTTTGAGCCCCCGGCGACCGCCACGGAAACAAATACAGACTTGGTGTCTTACTTGCCAGCCGGTTCACCAGCCGGCTCTGGCCCGCAATCTGTTGCGCGCGTTGAGGCAAAGCATGCTTGTCATGATGCTTCTTCTTCTTCGCTACCCCTGACCCATGCCAAGATCCCTGTGAACGTGTAGATATACGAGTGCCTGACCCTGCGCACTCCCTCCACTGAAGGAGGATCCGTCGAGCAAGAAACCCTTCACCATCCCCTCTCCGCTCCGCTCTTGCCTTCCCTGAAGCAAAAGGGAAGTGGGCATCGAACCCCCACATTCAGGCCGACGTTGGTCAAGGATATCTCAGAGGGGCCAGGCCAAGGTAGCATTGATGTTGAAGACTGCCCACAGCGGTAAGAAAAAATACATGCCAAGGATGTTGCTGTCAGTGTTTGATGTGCACCCACGGTTGGAGGGAGCCTGGGCCAGGTATCGAGCCTGGCACTGGCAGTCTTGGTCCCGCTTAACCTGCTTTGCTGATTTCGTAGTCATCAATTGCTGACAGTAATCCAGCAATGACGCCGTCAAATAGACGGAGGTCTTTGGTATGTCAATTGACACCACACATTCAACTGGTGCGCTTCAGAGAACGCGGCCGTCAAGTCATGGCCCATCTTTAGGATTCTTGTCCGCCTGTAGCGATACCTTGGTGGAGGTTCTTGCAAATAACTATGTCCAAAGGAACATCCACCACGTAATGTTAGCAGCAGTAATTGTTCCTCAGGAGGAAGGTCGAAGATTAGCTTGCAAGTCAACGCCCGCTCAGTAGATAATCAAAAGGTGTAACAGATGGCTTCTCTCTGCTTCCGCTTGATTGCTCGGTTATTACAGAGTATCATGTTGTTGATTGTGTATGTTGCGCTGTCAAACTAGGTCAACCCTTGGGAAGACATGGCTTGTGGTTTTTGCTTTGATGGGGGATCTTCAGGCACTGGCGCCAAAAATTTACCCTTCAGTCAGCCAAGCCAGCCGCATCGGCCGTCGATCCAGTTTCACCAGGGTGTTATCATCCAGTCGTCCACTCAAGTCCACAGAAGCCTCCGACTGCGGCGGAGTCCTCTTCGGCATTTGGGGGCAGAAAAAGGAGATGGTTGTCGAATTGCAACTTCTGGATTGCTTCTCTTGGCCGCACAATGACGAATCGTATCCAAATTTCTTTATTGACCTTTCTCGGGGTGTTCCCAGTTGTCTGGATGACCGAAGGTCAAATCTCAGCTTCGAGAAGCTTGGAACATGAGCAGACCCGTTATATCCTTCCTTTCTTTTTCTTTTTCTGGAGTGCTTCTCCGGAGCCATAGTAGCGAAAAATGGACCAACTCCGATGGTTCCATGTACGATTCCTTGTTGCGCAAGGGTGCTGCCGTTGCTGGGCATTCAAGGACTCGTCAGAATGTGCTGTTCGGTCTCTAAGTCCGGCCTACGGCACCGCCAATTCAAGACCTTCAGGCCTTGAATCCAAATCGAGAACGACATCCTCGTCACCGCCGACATATTGGTTGCACAGCCTGCCGGATGGGCAGTCATCGCAATCATCCGTTGACCCATGCGGCTTTGCTCTGATATCAATCCCAGCCGAGGCCAGGAGTTGTTCATGGAGGCTTTGGCTCAGACGCCAGCAGGCATCCCAATCCATCCGGCCCTCTGATGGAACCCCCACAAACTGAGTTTACTGAACCATAACGACACATACAGGTCTCAGGAGTGATCCGAAGTATGTAAGCAATGGGTTCGCAAGGGGGTATGTCGAACCGCCGAGTTCATCTTTCGAGCCGTACAAAACACCGCAGCTGCGGAGGGTCCTTTGCTGTACGCAAGTGCAACCCCTCGCTAGGAGCTGGGTTCTTTTGCAGTGATTTTCGCTGCAGGTCTGCATCGCGAGTCACGGTCCCTGCAGAGCAATATCTGCATTATCCAGGCTCGGATACGTTTCTCACCTAGTCCTTTTCACTGCTATCCGCATCCCCCGGTCTCGTGATGAGCCTCATTCGAGAACATCGGTCTGAAGTGTACCAACGAGAAAAACACCGACAGCCGAGGATCCGTTGTTCCCTGTTAGCTGTCAGGACAAGATGATGCGCGGTCTCTGGGGACCCTTCGTCAGCCAGCCGGGGGACGAATACACGTGTAGCTATCGTCAGGAACCGTGAGGCGTCGTGTTGCTCATGTCACTGGGTTTATTTTCAGGTCTTGCCCTGGCTTTGCCCACCCGCATGGTAGGGGACCCGTTGCCACTGTTCCTCGCTGTTGTCCACTGCTGGAAAGCTGGTCCGTAGGGGTTGCACGTCTGTGTGTTGTAAGCGATGTTGACGTGGTGCTGTACCTAGAGACTGCAGATGCTGGGGTTAACGAATTTCGCGTGGTGAACACCCCGCTGAGTTGCCAGGCCTTTACAGAGGGAACACCGCGGCAGACGACAAGATGGCGTGATACTTGGGGGGGCTCAGGGCGGTGACGAGCTAACCGTCGACAGGGTGGTATGGAAGAGGCCGTGCGCGACATGGGCAGTCCAGCCCCCCCGGCATGACAGACTTGGGATGGACGGAAGACGATCTGCGAGTCGCAACATGCCAGGACCGTAGTTGATGGAGACGTGGACGAAGTGGATGATGCGGTGTCCGCTGCCCACTTGGCCGGCCTGGGTCTCTCTCGACGAGAGAACGTGAAGGGGCCAGGGAGGAGGGCAACAGACCCGCGGTTGGCAAAGGCCATTCCCTTCAAACGCGAGGGCCCCAACGAGATGACGAGCAGCGGACTCCGGTTCTGCAAACCCCCGAAGGCAATCGACTGGTCCAGTCCGATCCAGACCAGATGCCGTACCACGATTTCACTTGTCGACTGGCAAGATTGACGAAAGCCATTTTTGGTAGAATATCTGCCCAATTTCAGGGCGTTTTCCCATCAGGAGCTAAAAAGAAGCTTGTAATTTGCGACTCCTCCAAAGAACCCAAAGTCGAGAGAAGCCGGCCAGTCAGACACTGCTAGCTTCGGGCACCGATGCGGGATGGGGCGTCGATGGTGCTACACGAGAACCATTGGCCGAGCCCGGCGTTCCTGCATACGGGCGGAACCTGCATGAAGCTCCATCCTGCCCCTATATGCGGTGATTATTATGGTTCCTTGCCCTAACATGAGTTCGGCATAGGACTTGGGAATTTCCTAGGTGTCAAACGGTAGTTCTCTGAGTCGAGTCGAGGAGGGAAGCGCAGCGTCACTGAACCGTACGCGCGCTTCATCCCATATTCCGAGTCCCAGATTTCTTGTGTGTCTCCAAGCCATCTTACGCATGATTCGTCAGTTTTGGGTTGTGCGTTAGGAACGTCGGGAAGAAGAAGAAAGTATCTTGAGGCTGGAGGATCTGCAGCAGAAACCGACGGAAAGGCCAGCAGGCGGCCATGCGAAGGGCTTCCGGGCCGTGTTGCGATGAGAACAGGCCTCATTGAAGACTCTACAGCCGTTCGTGGCAGACTTCTCTGTTGAACGCGCAGGCAGGCTTGGCCCGGGTAGAGCAGTTCGTTTGATTCTCCACTCTTCAGCCGAGACTGGTGTCGAACTCAGGGTGAACTGGGCTGGTGCTTTCAAATTTTGAGTCGTCCTGGCAGGCGATTGGCTCTTCAGACACTTCTCGGAACTCCATGCTGTGGTTCAGTTCGACGAGGCGATGCAAAGTTTGCTGTGAGACCGGCTGCCGGAGGGTAGCTCTCCTCGAGCTAATGCACACCCTTTCACGCAGTAGAGGTGAACACATGGTCTGTGGGAGAGAACGTCGCAGGTCGGCCAGTGTTTCGCCAGCACTGGGAAGCCACATCCGCAGGCCGCATATGCGACCGATGCAGTGTTTTAGAGGTGCTTGGGATATGCGGTGCCTCGTGTGATGAAAGCCGTCGACATGAATCTGGTATCGGCGGCCGCATTGGCACTGGCAGTGACAGCCGCAAGCTCGTCCCATCGACGAGAATATGATGAACTCCCAGCGAGCCCTGTGCCACGATTCTTGCAGGCTCCGTCTTGGACTTGGCAACCTGAAAGTGTTGGACTGGATCATCAATGTCGGCTAGCCGGAGGCGCCGCGCGATGGTCATTTCTGCTGGCTGGCCCAGGCCAGCTCGTATCCTGCCAGGCGGCAAGAGAGTCATTTGGACTGATGTCGAGACTGTTGGGCTGCTCGCTCAGCGGTCCAAGGAAGTTGTGGATCTCGGTCTGCTGGGGAGCCAAAGGAACTGGATGCCGTGGGCAGAGAGCAATCGATTGTCCGTAGCTTCGTTGATCTCCGTTTTCTCAGGGTCTGTTCGCAGCTCCTTTCGTGAGGGCCGATCTAGCGTCTGTGGCCTCGCATGGAGGATTTGCGGTGGGAACAATTCTGCTCGCCACGTTTGCTGCGTCCCGCCGGGGACTCCTTTGGAGGGCTAAGCCCAAATGCGAGGTAAGGCCGAGATGATGGGTTGCAAGCTTGTTGGCAGCATCAATCAGCCGGCGAAGAATGTGCCACTGGTGGCAGTGATGATTGTAAATTTTCTGGCAGGTAGCGGAAAAAGCCATGGGCCATGGGGGTCCCCGGAGTTGGGAGGCGAAGGTTCTCAATGCAACAGCCAGACGTATTCTGGCCGAACGGCATGCCGGTCCCTGACTGTTGTGTGGTACGAAGTGGTGGCGGTGTACATATTTGGAAGTTGGTGGTCCATCATCAACTTCATTGGCGGCATGCGGGGATGGAGGCTGCCACTGCCCTGTGCAGGTGAGGCGACCACGGCTTGATGGTTTGACACCGCCCTCTTGTTACTCAGCTTCTTTGGCAGTTCCTGCTGAGCTCCTACCTGCCCCGAAAAGCACAGGTACAGGCCGTCCGCGCCTTCCACGGTATCCGTACGTCATGTACCGAGTAAATGTGACGGATACGGTCGTGAGGAAGGAAGGACGTGACGACAGTCGCTCAAGGAAGTCGCTCCTGTCTTCCGTCAAAAACTTTAGGAGAGAATATGTGTGTGTAGTGAGACGACTGGTGCACTCCACAAAACGAGTACGTACCGTTTCGTGCCCGTTTCAGATGGAGTGGTTTGTATGGGGGTCGCTCATTGGCTCGCCGGATTCTGGAACAAGTTGGAGCTCACCGGTGCTCCGCCTTGCTGCGTTTAAGGTGTCTCCGCTGCAGGAGCTTCTCCCAGCCACTGAAGGCTTTACTTTGCAAGTGGCTTGGAGGAGGTTGGGGATCCCAAAGGAGAGGCACCCTTTAACACCTTAACGCTAAGTTGCCTGAGGAACCTACATCGTTCGCAATCCATCGGTTGCTTTGAGGCTTGCCTCGCCTTCCAAACATCTCCGTACTGCAAAGTATGGACGCAGGCACCCACTTTGAGCTGCAAGCCGCGGTCATCACCAGTCCAAGTCAAGGCTAGTTGGAACATCACCTTGTGGGCATACCAATTCTTGCAACCTTTGACTGTACATAATGTCTCTTGCCTACGGATACATCATTCGCTGCCTACCCTAGAATAGCTCCCACGTTTTAGCCCTGGAAGATCAACGCTCCCACGTGAGACTAGTGGACCAAATCTCCCATGTTTCCTCCTGCTTGATGTCTTTTACTCACCTCCTGAGTGAGGAAGGATGCTGTAATCAAAACAACCGCCACAAGGCCGAAACCACCAGCCAACCTTAATTGGGTTGGCATTTCGTTACCTCGCTTCTTCGGAAATGGCGAGCTCCAATGGTCTCGAGCCGCACTATTCGCGGGCGAGGAGCTTGGGCCTTGATCATCACGACAAGCCCGTACCGTACCGTAGTTTGCTTTCTTTGGGTCCCAACTCCGTCCTAATGCAGGCATCGCAGCTCGATGCCGCGCGTATGTTGCAGGTTTGCCGTGTGATGCTTCCCGAATCAAGTGAAAGAAAAACCGATGTACGCGAGAATATCAGAGACGGACCAGTCGACAACCGATATGCCCCTCCACAGCCGTGGTGGCAAGACACTTCTGATCCGGCACTCGACATATGCACGCAGGAGTGCACACATATCACCGGTTGATTGTCTCAACTAAGATTCTCAGGCACAGTCTTCCACAGGAAGATAGATGATTGGAACTCCCAAGTGTGACAGTCGGAAGATGGCCATGCGACGTAAATCAAGGAACTGGGCAGCCGGGCAGCTAGCTCTACGGATAGCACTTGCAGCATAGGCCATGGATTTATTGCCTTATTGGGATGCCATCGACACCAACGAGCCACACCCCACCCGGGGCTGATGTCGAAATATGACATGGAGCGCCCGTCCTCGCCAGGGTAAAAGGCACCATCGCTCCTGCGACCTAGCTCTATCCGCGTGGCCGCTCTCCATTACGACAGTCGACACGCATGGGAGCGTGGGTGATCGCTAGGGATTTAGGAGACTTTTCTTCCCTAATCCCTCGAGTCTCAAGTGTGCGCCCTGCTTGTTAGCCAGTAACTCCCATCCTCACGATGCGCCGTGCTATGATTCGCTCCTCTAAATCAGAGCGTAAACGGTTGACATCAGATGTGTGTGATGGACTGATGAAAACCCATGTGGAATGCAACCCCCACAATCAATCAGTCGGTTGCACGGTAGCCTAGGGCAGGGGAAAGGAGAAGGGTGCCGGCCACGTTTTGTTCTTAGCGAGAGAACTACGGATATTCGTAAGGACGTAGGACGGCTCGCTCGAAGAGGGCAGCAAGTCCAGGCTTGGCCTGTGCACCGTGTGGGAGAAGAGCGTCGTCAGGGCCATCAATTCTTGGTTTACACGTACGCGACGTCATGTCAGATACCATGCAGTAGATATCGGAGTTGAAGACAAGGACGAGCACAGAATACCGCGGCGAGAGGGGCGAAATAGGACAAACCAGTGACAGACATCTCGTGGCTCATCTGTACCGGTACTTGATGTGGGCTGATGGAGACGCAGTAGCATTCGGGATTTTGGTGTATGATCAGAGGGGCGAGAACGGCCGTTTGGGCGGGCCGACGATACTATGGCGGCGGAATAGAAAGACGGTCAGAAAAGACGATCACTTGAGGAGGTGTTTCGACCCAGACTCTATCAAAGTTTGGTTCACCACGTACAAAGATGCGTTGATGGTGTTGCATGCGAGAACTGAAGAGAGGAAAGCGCAGGGCAGCTGGTGAAATGTGTGGAGTCGAAGCGCGGCTGTTCATTGGCCCCAGCTTGGGAGGACGGAACGAAGGACGGAACGAAGGACGGTCGCTGAATGGCCCGGAAGTTCAGGCACGGCTCAGGGGCAGGCCATTGCGGGGAAGTGGACATGGAGGGGGATCTTGCCGTGGCGTGGTGGTGCACCGTTCACATCACATCACAGATTGTGGCTTGTACCTACCTGCGGCGTGTCTCTTTCCTCATGCTGCAGACCGATACTCGATATTCGGCAAGAAGGATCACGCATGCCCATGGGAGCTGCTTCCGTGTCCAAACTACCTAGGTACTCACGTTTTGGTTCGGGCGGTACTGAAGAAGGGCGGAATGAGACGTTCGTACTTGCTTGCATTCCAGGGAAGGGGAGGTGACGCCAGTAGATGCGAGCCTGCCCTACCAAACAACCATATTCACAGTCCAGTCCGTTGTGGCTTCCCAGCTTCCCTCCATCGCCACGTTTTCCGCCCCTGCCCTCTTTCCCGTGTCTACTTACTGCGTGGTAAGTACCTTAGTGTAGGCTTGCGCCGGCCGTCAATCCCCCACCTCGTTCCTTCTCGGCCGTCGCAGTCGGCCAGCAGCCCACTCACACACAAACACAGATAGCCCGCCACACTATCCACCTACCAATACACTACCTAGGTATCACACAAGCACCTTCCGCCCCTCTGTCTCTGATCCATGCCTTTTTCCCTCCACCGCCTTTTCATTTTGCAACCTCACTCGAGCATCAAATTTGTTCATCCTCTGCCAGATTTTCCAGATTCTTCGTCGGACCCCGCACACTCATCTCGACGCTCAATGCTTAATGCTATGTCAAGGATGAGGAATCGTCAATTTACGCGCGCCGCAGGTCACTCTGCATGAGATGAATCTGGACCCCACTTGGGAGAGCAGGCGTCGGGAGCCCTTCTTCTCTTTTCTTGTCTTCCGTTTCCGCCGCCGTCAGCAATGACCGCTGCGCGGTTGAACCACTCAGTCGGGTCCTTTCTTTGCTGTGCCGCCCGGCCATCTAGCCGCAAGACCGCCGCGAGGAGGGCACTCAGGCTGCGCTGGATGCACCGAAGGATCTTGTTCTGGCCTACGAGCAGACCGAGGTGCTGCGTCTCTCTACACCCGCTTTGGCAACCAAGAATGCATCGGCGCCGACGAGCAGAAAAAAAAAAAGAGACGTGGGATGATTTTCTGCTCGACCACACAACAAATACGTCTCAACGGCCAATGGACGAACGCTCTCCAGTATCCAGAAGCGTCAGGAGCTCCACAAGCCATGCTCTCCTTTTCATTCCAGACCATGCGATGCACAAAGTAATGCCTTGCTTCTCGGCTCCGACTGACGTGCGCGGCAATACCTGCAGCACCAATCTCAGTCGTCAGGATTCTCTCAGCCCTCTCCACCAGCGACATGTCCGGCTACGAGTTGAGGTTCCCCGGCACCTGCTGTCGAATCCCACATTGCGCTATCATCCCTGTCGGACAAGGGTCTGACTGCCTGCCTTCCCACCCGGAACTCACCACTCGCGGTCCTCTTGCAAGCCCCGTCAACAAGGCCCTGCCAATGGTCTCCATCGGAATAAGACCTAGCACGCCACGGCCTCCTGTCAAGAGGGCAGGCCCGCGATGTGTAACTGGGGTCAACATTGCAGGGTCGCCGTCAAGCTTGATTGGAGTCTCTTTCTCCCTCCAACCTATCACATTATTCCGCCTCACACCACATCTGTCTCGCGCACGGACTCTCTGCCGTCCAAAATCTCATCATGTTCTTGATCTGTCTCTGACAAGTCGCAGTCGCTTATGACCATCTAGATGCAGATCGAACACGACGAAAGAAAGAAGCACGGGGAGAACTTTGATATCAAACCGCGCCTTCCGACCAATATATTTGACGAGGTACAACATGCCACCTCGTGGCCGGATGGGCACATC